CAATACCACTGTCATCAGCTGCAGTCCAAGATGAGACTTACTGGAGAGGCAGCTGAATATATGATTTCTCACAAATAAATTATTGAGTAAAACATTTGCACAGGAAAGCTGGTAAAAAGCGAGAGCTAGACAGTCTGCAGGGCACAGAGCTGTTAGGACATCAGATTTCACTTCACAGTGACTTTGTTTGTTATTGTCTCTTTTGGCAAAAATGAATTTAAAAATAAATTTAAAACACAAATGCATGAAGGTGTAAACATCAATAAATCATATAAAATCAAAAAGGTAAAATTACACAATTATCTAAAGTACTGAGTTTTTATTAACTGACACAATGTTGATATTTCACAGCTGTACTGAGCGCACAGTTACCACCAAAGTACTTGTTACGCTGTGAGAGTCACACACACGTCTTTACCCTCATGTTTCAATCTTAAAGATTCACTGAACACATGTTATCGTAGCTCCTGGAACCATCCACTAACATCGTCTCACTCTGTAGACCTCAAACATTACTGTGAGATAACGAGGTGTTAATTATAATGCAGATCGTCTCTTTTAGATCACGATCGTGAGGTGAAGCTCACGAGTACAAACTGAGCTGCTTCTATTCTGAGCACTCGCACACTGCTCCATACAGTGAGCTCACACTTTAGCCTCTAAGCTTTTATTTTACATCTACTTTACATTCTGGCAAGCTGGAACTAAAACAGTGTATGACCTTAGATTTTAGTACCGAGCTGCTGACTGTGACTGTATCGGTTTATATTAAAAAGAAATAAAAACGAGTGGATCAAACTTGGAGGTTAATCGACCATAAACAATTTAAAACTGCTTTTAATTAGACGTCAGGCTGTTTCACCAAAACAGGATGAAAACGTCACCAAAGCATCTTGTCTTTTGTTTTAAACGATGTGCAACTTCTACCTTTACAGCAGCACCTTCTTTTGTCATCTACCCCTTCCTGAAAGCACAAACCCAGCAGCTGACTGGTCAGATGTTGTTAGCAATGTTCCCCACAGAGTGACATGACCCGAAAGCATTTACATGGAAACCACGATGGGAGCTCTTCAAATGATCCAAATACTGAGGAAAGCTGCTTCGGTGCTTCCTTTATTGCCTCCCTTAGCAGAGCAACACTGGCGAACGGTTCATGGCGAAAACACCATCTACTACTAACAGACAGTCTTGTTAAAAGCACAAGTTCCACTGGATCACTTCTCTAGATGGAAGTGTCCTAATGTCTTAACAAACATGCTTTGTTCCTGTATACACTCTGTTACTCTAGTACAGCAAACAAAGCTAAGATTAAAAATGTGCAGAACATAAGTGATTAAGAAAAGAGGCGACACAGGAGACATTTTTGGACAAGGAAAGCTTTTGGTCTAGAGAAAGTAAAGTTATTAGTTGTCATACTTCTACGCTACAAGCCTGTCACGCAAAACCTCACAATCCAACACCTGAATCAAACGCATATGAGGCTCAGTATCGTGCTCAAGGACACTACGTCAACTGGCAACTTAATAACTGACCTTCTGATTGGTACCCCTTAAAACCACCCACTAATCTGTAAACCACTAATTTAATTATATCTGAATTTAAAGGAAAACCTCTGCAAAATATTTTTTGGTTCAGTAATTTCTAGTTTGTTATTAATTACACTCTTAAATAATCCAGATTAAAACAGTTTCAGTTTTTTGCCTTAATCACGCCGCCCTGCGTGACACATTTACTTCCCTCCCTTTGTTTCCTACAATCAGTGAGTCCTCGGGACACTAAAATCCTCTGGCAGTCCCGTGGGAGCTGACTGCCATGCTGACCGTTGCTGCCCTGTTGTTCCCAGGCCTCTAAAAAAGGCTTTTAAACTGAGCTGTTTCTAGTATGTTCTTGCTGAGTAGAGTGTGTCCTCCTCTTCCTTTGAGTCCTCTTAAATCCAAGCTTCACAAGAAACCAACAACAAAGAAGGAAGTGAGCCCAAAGAGACTCAAACCTCTGCAGAAACTAAGAAATATTTTAAAGTTCAGAAAGTTAGTGTTCCAGTTTTATTTCCTGCTCCTGAAGTACAAAAACAGACAACTTACACTAATCTTTGCTTCTTCTGCTTTTCCTTCTTCGTCCTGCAAGCTTCTTTTTACCACAGTCTCTGTGATCACAGAAGTAAGAGTCTTATATTTTGGGCCAGTTTGTAAGTCAATTGAACCCGAAACTGTGAGGGCGCATTTTATCATCAACCTTAATAAACGTTTTGGTTCCTTGCATAAGAGGAGAAATGACTGTGCCATGAAACATCTTAAAAATATTAGTTTCAGGGACTTTTTATTGAAAAGCAAAACATGTTTTATCTCCAAATACAAACACAATGGGGACAATTCATTTTAACGTCTCCTGAGGGGGGGGGCACTTTTTGCCTTAACAGAGTTCAATTCAGTGTTTCTTAAGCCTGACAATATTCAGCTTTAAGGACAAACACACGAGCATAGCTGAGGGCTATCTGTGACTTTAAACTAGAATTAATGGCAGGATTTTTGAAAAAGTCACAATCAGCCAAACTGGACTGTTGTGCCTTTATTTACCGTGTGGACAGTCACAACTTTATCTGAGAAAGCAGTAAAAGCTGCAACGAGGAACAGGACAAAATGTCCTGGACTGATCCAAATCTAGGCCAGCTGGGCCCAAAGCTGCTCCAGAGGAGTGAGAAGATGCAGTTCAGACCTACAAGATTATAAAACTCTGGAATAATTTACATTAACTTTTAAATTAGTGCCACGAATTAAAAAACTAAATCCAGTCGCTGTAGTTTGTCCATTTCTCTCTGCTTCTGGGATGTGTCGGTAAATCTTATGGACATTTGTCTCAGCAGTTTGCTTCACAGGTGAGCTCATCACTCTGAATGAACTCGAGGATGCTCAATTATATCCTCTCATATTTACAATTATTTTGGTGCGGCTACTCAAGAAACTTGAAAATATCTTGCACATACTGAACTCAGCAGCAGATTCCTCTAACTTTAAACAAAATAAAAATTGAAAAAATAACTGAGGTGAGGATGTTGGCGGGACACAGAGTTATCCAGGTACTCCTTGAGTCACGCACAAATGTTTTTTTCACAGTGCCAACCACGATCGCTGCACATGCACATGGGTATGAAGAAGGTGCCCAGGCAGCTGGGAAATAGCAAACAACTGAAAACCTAAAGCAGCGGACCAGAAGAGACAAACCCGGAAACAAACATAACTGCGGGCCACTTATTAATAATCCTTCCCCAGGTTCCCCTACGGCAGCGGTCAGCAACCTTTAACACTCAAAGAGCCATTTGGACCCGGTTTCCACACAAAAGAAAACACTGGGAGCCGCAAATACTTTTTGACATCTAAAATGAAGTTAACACTGTATACATTGCTTTTTACCTTTATGCTTTGTGTGAATAACTAAGGTGTGTTGCTTATGAAATCCATGAAGTGCTACAGAGAAAATTACATTTAATTCATGTAATTAACACATTTTGAACTCTTAAAGAAATATAACAAAAGGAAAGGAAACTAAAATGAACCACGTAGCAAACAAAAACTGTTGTGATATATATATCGCCTTTGGGCGTTTGGAGCCTTGACCTGACTTTTAAAAAATAATTGGAAAAAAAAGCACTATGCTGCTGAAAAATGAAAAATAGGTATTTGCAAAATTCTGCCTAAATATGTATTTTACCTGGTTAATGTGTGTGGCGGGGCGTGGTCTACAGCGCCGCTGCAGGGTAGACGGACGCACCTGAGCGTCACCCGCAATCACGCCTCGCTGCCAAATCGGGGCTGTACGAAGTCACTTTATCTTTACGCAGGACAGTAAGTTGTCATCTGTGAGGTGTGAGCGGTGTTTGTTTTTAACATAGTTCATGGTGGAGAACAGCTGCTGACATAATGTGGATCCAAAGATCCATAACTGGCCTACCTGGGGTTGAAAGTCTCGATAAATGCACGGCGTTTCGGCGGGTACACCGGCTTCCGCAAGTGTGACGCTTATATTGAGCGATGAAAAAAATAATAGAATATAATTTTTTTTTTATATTTCAATATTACAATAATCTTCCAATTTAGAACTACAAGTTAAAAAAACTAACATAAAGAAAATATACTTCAGCTAAATACTTCTAATTTATTTTCCCAAACCACGCGGAGCCGCACTGTAAGAACTAAAGAGCCGCAGGTTGCCGACCCCTGGTCTACGGAAACCCGTAGGAAGGATCAACAGTTCCAATATGGCGCCATTAGTTATCAAATACTGAATGTTGGGGTTCAATCAGAAACTTCTACTTGATTTCTGCCTGAACACAGACTCACCACAGAGGTCCAGGACCAGCGGCTCAGGAGCACTATCACAGACCAAACTCATCCGGATCACCTGGACGTTGGGAACATTGGGATCTGAGACAAGACCAAAGAAACAGGTGATTCAGTACAGACGTAGCAAACATGCTAAACATGTGTCTCATACTACCCAGATTACTGCTGGCTGCTCCATAGTTTATATTCATAACTTTTATTTATCCTTAAAGACACTTTAACATCATTTTCACATGCAGTCTGCTAAACCCAGACATTTATAAGAGGTCTGCATGTGATGTAAAAATCAGCTACGTGTTTGAAGTGTTTGAACTCAGGGGAGCTGAAATCAGGACAGGCTGCTGTAGTTGGGACAGATTCTGCATTAATTACTCTTCAGTTTGTTCTCAGGCAACAATTCAAACTTTCTCCTCACAGCAGGAAGCGTACTGATCATCAGTGTTTGACAGACAACACTAGGCCACAGGTTACTATAAAGACATACAACTCCAGCTTAGTCCTGTTATTTTAATAAAATGCACAATGCATCAAACAGGATGTAACAGTTCAATGACAAACCGAAAACAACAAAAACATCTGCTTTATTGTAACACAGCACCACCTTCCTGCACTGTGATACCTACAGGGACCTCTTCTGTATTGTTGAAGCGGTGAACAAGAAACACATCAGAGTAATGGACTTTAATGTTTATCATTAAATCAAATAAACATATTTTTCTGTTTTTAATTAATCACTTCTAAAGAAAAACCGAGATGCAATTTGAACTGTGGATTTGCAGAACCGTTACACACACACACACACTCAGACACACACAGTGTATTACCAGCCTCAGAGATCCCAGAGCCAAGCAGGGCTTCCTTATATTTGCGTAGGCTTTCGTCATCCTTATCCAGCTCATGGATCTCCTTCACTGACTTCTGGGCTGGAGGTTTGTAGTTCACTGGCTCTGGCTCTTCATTTTCAGCGGCGATAGCTGCTAGCTGCTCCGTAGTCACGTCATCGTCAGCCATGTCTGGAGGGGGGAAAAAAATGTGAGTGACGGTATAGCGAGCATGGAAAGAAAGCAGGTGGGCAGACGTCCTATATTCTTACTAACACTTGTCTCTTGGGGAGGCAAGTGTTTTGTTGTAAACAAAAAGACAAACTCTGCTGTGTGTAGCATTTTATGTCATCTAATCTCACTTCTTTGAAGTAGTAATAATGAGAGGGGAGTCATGAACGAGGCGTCAAGCATCCCATGATGCAGTTATTTAGGTCAGATGAAAACAACTGTGTTCCCCTGGCATGGATGACATGAGTCTGGTCTTTTTCACCTCTATTACATTCAACCAAGCAACAGCTTCACAGCAGTGTACACCGCAGTCGTGTATATTTGGTTTTCTCAGCGATGTTATCAGGGAAGAGTTTCAAGGATAACAAGAACAAGGAATAACATTTGTTTTGTCCTCATAAACCTCCAAATAAGGAAGCCATCTCATTTATGTCAGGAAAGCAAGATGATCGAGTTAACCTGATGCAGAGACAATGGGTTTGTGTTTCATTTGCACAGAAACTAACTGTGTTCCCGTTTTAAGGAGGCTAATGCCCAAAAACTTTCCACTGCTCAAACGCACAGTGTAACAAAAGCAGGAAGAGCTGTGCTTGGACCGAGAGTCTTAAAGCTCACATTAAAGCCCCCCTCCCAACCTAAACCTAAAGGACAGCTCTGCACACAACGAACTCTCAGTAATGTGGAAAAACCAGCAGAGAGAATTCAGGACGTAAACTCTCTTTGCTCAGATGCAGTGACTCTACTGCTTCACAGGGCTGCTCCATTATGACAAAAAACATCCATGCCTAGACTAGACATTTAAAAGAATGTCAAGCGCATGAATGGAGCCATTTGAGGTGGTCTGGGCATCTGAACAGGACGCCTCCTGGACAACTCCAACTTCGAGAGGTGTTTCGGAGACACAGGAGGAGATTTTAAGAAACAAGATGTATTTACTGAACTTAGAATATTTTACAGGGGATTTTCTTAGGATTTATGTACAATTTCAATAAAATGTTTTATTTAATAAATAGATAAATGTAAAAAATAAAGGGGTACACAGCTGTGGTGGAGGACGTACAAGGTTATGACATGGGGAGTACTCTTAAGGGAAACTGCTGGTCCCTGCCAGCCTGCAGCTTGTACTGCAGGATGTTTGTGGTAGATATTGGAGCTGCCCACCTCAGAAGCCCTGCAGCAACAGCCACAAACTCAGTGATAGCAAACAGTTAAGAGTTTGGGTGAGGGATGCTGGCAGGTGTACTCGTTTGTCTTTCTTCTAGAACATGTTCGCCTATGGAAACTTCGTTAGTTTTTCTCCTTCTAGGCAGACCAGGTTTTTCCATCATCTTGGTCAAAGCTGAACACGAGCGAGTCCGAGCTTTCAGGGAGGGGCGAAAGCTCACTGCTGTACAGGAAAAGGACCAAAACAGAGCCGATGTGTTTCCTCTGACTATAAAAGTGAAATAATGTCAACATGCACGCTAGAAAGATCTGCTGCACCATGATCGTTTTAGTCACTATACTCTTGATTTTTTTATAATCCGTTCTTATTTATTAGGTGATATTTAACTAGGCTGGACATTTTTCACAACTGGTAAAAAAATTAACTGCTAAGTCAACATCACTGTAATCTGCTTCGGTTAGTTCAACAATACAGCAAACGTAGCTGTGAACTAATTGTACCTCCATCTCCACCCAGCAGTGCTCAGCCAGCAGTGTTTAATACCTCCATGACATTCGTTTACATTTCAGCAGCACCAGATGGATTAAACGCTTCGAGTCTCCAGCCTCAGATGCAACACTGTGTAAACTGTAGCTGTAACTAAAAGACTGGAAGTTTGAAAAGAACTGTGGATAATGCAAATGTCCCAAATAATTTTAGTGATTAGTGATTTTTGTGATACAAATCGTAAGTTTGAGTTTGTCTGCATATCTCTCTCTTCTCTTATGAACTGCCTAAACTAGCAGGCATCATAGAAATGTCTATAAGCAGCACAGACGTGAACTATGCGAGGAGCCGCAGCCATAAACATGCCTGAGCAGGAGCCAAAATCCTGCTTCAATTTTCCGCTTTTCTATTCCTTACAAATGCACCATTATATATACACAATTTCTTGCACCTGAAGGAACCAAAATTGTGTGACTAAAGTAAGACTTCAAGAACTTCTTCAAAATGTGATTATTAGCTGCTGGTTGCACAAATTCTCCTTAATCAAGCAGAGCCTTTAAACACCAAACTTTTACTTTGGTCAAGTTTCTCTTGTGACTTCAGATATACCTTCCACTCAATAAAAATAAAATGCATTATTAGAGCCATGTACAATGATAAAAAATAACTGTTTTTTTTTTTTAAATGCAATCTTCATTTGAGTTCATGTTTTGCATAACTAAATTGCAGATTTAACTGAGGTCAAATTTAGATCACGGTTACTCGACGAGGAGTGAAACTCCTGGCATTAACTCTTAGTTTTTTATTTATATTTTTGGTTTGCATGGTCTCCCTGTTACGAAATTTCTTAAAGCTAAATATTTTTCCCACTGAGCACCGTGCAAGTACATCAGTCTTTTACTGGTAGCTTTTAGATTTTATTGTCTCACAAAAGGCTAATTTAATCCCTTTATACACTGCTATCTTATTCTGTGAGACCATATAATAATTTATTACTAGGCAAGCTCCATTTACTTTATTCTCCAAAGTTTGGTCAATCGGGCAACACAGAAAGTGATCATTCTGACACAGTTTTACGCAAAGTGTGACCCTAAAGAGCCGTGCTGATGGGCAATCAGCAGTTTTTTTCATAATGTGGAAAACTGATGTGTTATTTTTCTTCAGCTCACTTTAAGTACACACTAAATGTGTACTTAAACTTCGTGACACTGAGGCTCTGTTTAATCAGAAGGTCAGTGGATTGATTTCCTCCAGTCCATCTGATACCGAACCTCGAGTTGACCCCGATGCATCCATCGGAAGGTCAGAAGGTGTATGAATGTGTGTGTGTGATTAGGTGAATGAGGCATTTTGAGTGCACAAATTAAGCAGAAAGATGCGATGAGTACCAGTCCATTCACCATTGTAGAGAAAGGGAAACAATATACAACTGTCCACTTTAGCTCATACTGGGCTGTATGTGTCCCACCTAAAATAAATTGGCCATCACTGATTTTGACCTTGAGCTGTCAACCAAAACTCAAGTGAATAAATTTTAGGATATTCACTTTGTATTGTTACTAATAAAAGCACAAATGTACCACTGCCTGCTCAGCCGCTTTTTCTCCACAAAGTGAGGAAATAAAATATTTATATTTAACCTAATATGATTAAATTTGGACAACTGAAGATGTGTTCATGAGGAGTAAGGACACCTGTAACGTCAATACCTCACGGGATTAGCACAGGTCTGAAATATGGAACAGTCACATTTTCAGATAGTAGAAGTTACCTTTCAAATGAACTATCGTGCATGCGTTTAAGCACTACGGTTCTCCTGTCACAAGCTTTTCCATTTGAGCAAACATACAATAAAAAGGTTAAAAATTTAATTTCTGGTAAGCTCATAAATGTATTTTAGATTTAAATAAATTTGTATAATAATATTATTATTTGAGGAAAGCTGAAAAAAATCCCATGTTTTATGAATTGTAAAAAAAAAGTATCCTCGTGTGTTTTCACTTTCAACAGTTCACGTGTTCTCACAGGACATGATGTAAGAAGTTAATAAAAGTGATATTAAGAAGACTCCCCTTGTGCTGTCATGCCAAATATTAACATTAGGACATTTCATGAGTGGACTAGAACCCAGTTTGACAGACTCGCCCCACACAGCCTTCAGCAGGCTCGCAAACAGGACGGGAAGCTTAAAGAAACTTCAATTTCACAAACAGAGGAAGCATGCGGGAGCCTGAAGCCTCATCAGTGCACTGTGTCACTAACATTTACATCCTCTGTTTGGTGTTGGGTTCTTTTGGGTTCATCTATTTTTGTATCAAACACTAAGAACAACAACCTGCAGGGCAACAGCCAATCCAGACTGTTACCCCTGCCGGCCTCATGCAAACATTAATAACAAATACAGAATTTAATAGAGACATGGAGGTTTCTGCCTGCTGTCATTTTGAGCAGCAATATAATTTAAATTACGGCGACTGGTGCTACCCCTTTGTTGCCTTGTTCTTAGGTTATCGCATTCACAAGATTTTCAGAAAACTTGACCTCTGACCTTCAGGTTGAGTTCCCTGAGATATGCAGATAGATAATTCCTATAGTAATAATTTGAAGCTCCGAGGTTGCCTCATTCTCGAGTTATCGCATTCCAATCTTAGGTGTTCGTACTGGCCGCCCGCACGGCAGGGAGACAACAATACCCTGCAAACAACAATGTTTTGCACATGGACGATGATGTCAGGGATCAACGATGGTCAAGGTTAATGTTTGTTGTGCATTTTTGTGCATGTTAGTCAGCGACCGTGTGCGTGTGTATGTGTCTGTCTGTTTAATGCCGTCTGTAATTGCTTTTTAAAGAATCATCATGATGTTACAACATGTTCAGAACCTGCCGACGGCTTACTTAATAATAATTTACTATCCAAACTAACAGCCCCACGTCAGTGCTTAAAGTTTTGCGGACCCCATGCATGCTTTTACTGACCTGCAAGATAAAAAAAAAAAAAACAACAACTTTTATTTGTTTTTGTTTTTTAACTATAAATAAAATTTAATTTAATGTGTATGACATTATTTATGTTTTATAATCATCTAAATCTGAAAAACAATGTTACAAAAGCCTTGAAATAAATCTAGTCTAGTACACCCTGGGCTGCTGCCAGTTTAATTGAGTTAACAGTTAATCTGCATAAATAGGCTTTTATTCTAACTTCTCTAGCTTTAACGTGGATTTTTCTCTGTGTAAGGAAAACGGTGGCGTATGCGAGGAGCTGAAAGTTTGCTTTAAGTCATGTTTGAACTGGTTGTTGATGTGGATAGACGAAGGACTCACACCAGCTGTTTATCAGAAAGGTTTTAATAGTTTTGGACGAGACAAACATGTTTTTTTTTCACTGCAGCTGAGTTCACTTTCTCGGTAACAACGCCACCTCCCCGCTTTTCACCACGTGTCTGTAGACAGACTGTGGCTCCACGTTAAACTGTGACAGCATCATCTCCACAGCTGCTGTTGTGTTTTCCGTCTTTTTGCTGAGAAATGTAGGAACTACCTGGCGTGAATCTTCGAATACTCCACGTCACTATTTCATGTCTATTTTAGTCACAAATGTGGATGAAATGCTTACAAATCACTGAAGCAAAGAAGTTACATTGAGGATTTTTTTTGTAATCAAGTGGTTTGCATTAATCAATAAATACGGAAAATTTTCCTCAAATACTAACATATAAAAAAAATCTGAGCCTGACCTACACAAGAACTGGGAATATAAAATGTCTTGTAGGAGCAGTCGAAAATAAGTGAGCCAAACTCTTCTCAGCTTTGAGGTGATCATCTTAAGCGACTACCAATGTGAGTGAATTATACCACTGATTGATTTATCACTGGGTGGTAAATACATTAGTGGGTTACCTAAGCAACCAGAGTCTGCTATGTCCACCAATGCAACCAACAATCTGGACACAATGAGCAAATATATGTGAACCGGGCTTCATAGCTGCTACTATATAACCATTTATTATAAAATAAATATCTTCTGACAACTTCTTTCTTTACAGCTTTTGTAGGGTTGGAAATACAGACTCACCTTCTTGTATTAGTCATGTGTAATTTATTTGCCAAAGAGAAATTATAAAATATATTAAATTATATCTTGTTATTCGTCTTTTGCATTTATTGAATTTCTTTCTTTTCTCATCCACTGGGCTTTTTAAGTAGTTAAATATGTTACGTTAGTGGACCAATAGTAGCACTGAGGAGAGAATGATTATGGGGACCTGCATTGACACACCTTACCAAATCTGTCAACATTCCTGCTTTTCCCAGTTTCTCCCATATTTTAGGACCATCCACAATCGTGTTTTCCATGTTTATCTAATATTGCACAAGCTGCCAGACTGTCTATGAAACAGTCCACGCATAGCATAAAAACTGCATGCTATTTCAGCACATCTGTCATTGGTCCAATCTCAGCGCAGAAAAACCAGGTAAGGGTTAAACAAACTAACTGCTACCTTAGCTGTTTGACTATTTTAAGTCTCTTTAGTGCGAAAATTCAGTAAAGAGCGACATAGTTGGCTCTTCAGACGTGCTTAGCAGGGAATTATTAAATTTGGTACAGTTAGAAAGAAATTAAATCAAACTGAGCTTTATAAAACATTAAGTTAGTCGTTAACAACGTATAAATGAAACAGTAAAAACAAAAATGACACCCTCTTTCAACCAAAGTAGTGTCACCAAAACTATTTCACACTTCACTGGCTTCCTCCTGGTTATGCTAACTTAATAAATCAAAGTTATACCGTGTCATCAAAACAGTTTCTCATATCACAGTCAGGTGAATATGCAAACTGAAAGTCTCCAGATCTCCAGAAAGTCTTATAATTTCCAAATGTTGCAGCATTTCCTTTTGTATGATCTGAGAAGATCTGAGCTCCTGTATCAATTCGACATCACTGAAATAGCGGTACACTCATGTTCAATCCAGCCATGATGCACGCCATACACAAGCCAACAGTTTGTTAACAGCTGAAAGGGACTCCAGCTACATTCAAGAACAGCAAAGAGGGGGAATGAGATGCTCCAAGGGAGTAGCTGTGTTTGCTTCTTTAAAAAAGAGAAAGACTTTCGCTGTGGGGGCGTGAGTTTATTTCTCTGCTGTGAAAACGTTAACGCCAACAAGTAAAAAGTCAACAAACCGGCGCCAAAGTGCCATTACATCTATCTGACCTTCATAACGGGCAGCCTGTTAATGAGTAACTCCATGTGCAAAGAATTTAAGTTTTGTTAAAGTGTAATAGAGGCTAACAGATGATTATTTATTATTTAGGTTCATTATCAAATCATTTCACACTCTATACACACCTGACAGAAGAATGAACCTATATAAACCTATATAAAGGCTCACTTATAAAATAATAAGAAATAATAATAATAATACTCTAATATATCATGTAATCGCTAAATCGTATACATTTTTGTTCATAAACTAGCTCTTGGAAGGTCTGACTGTCATTTTGTCGTTTGTAATCTAGATAAATCTAATCCCAGATGAACAGAGTAACAATAACATATATTAAAAACAAAGTGTAACTTTTCTTTTTGTGGGGCTTTTTTAACGTATTGATCTCTAACTAACACACAGAATTAATAGTTCGTTGGTCAAAGTGCGTTATTGTTTGCCTTAGGCAGGCATATAAACACAAAGACTTTCAGAGTTTCCTATATTTATTTTTTCTGCATTAAATTAAATTAAAAACAAAACAGCTCTTTCAATGAAATTTAATGAACGCATGTTTATTTTAAAGATAATATCACGGATCTTTGCAAATTTTCCTCAATTATGTATTATCCGCGAAAAACCCCAGATGAACCGCAGCTGCCATGGTGATAAAATAGTAAATATATCTGTCATTATTAGCCGGGTAACAAACCTCCTTTTGACAGCACATCAGTTTACTCACGCCACTGGTTCATTAGCCTGAACGATTAAACTCATTAATACTGAACAATGTGGCTCAACTTTTCCTGCCGCCGACCCCCCCTCTCACACAGGGTGGGACTGAGGAGCGAGACAAGTGGCTAGCTCGTTAACCGCTGGGAACAATTCAGCCGAGCTAACCGGAGCCTGCAGCTAACATTAGCATGACAAGTTATCATCAGCTGACGGGAGCGGGCGCGACAACGGAGCGGCTTCACGGACGCGCGCCGGTTATGGTTGCTCTAGAGAGGGCGTTAGAAGCTGTCCTCGAAGCTGGAGACGCTTACCTTTAAATTAAACGCAGTAGTGTTTTCAGGAGCCTTTGCAGTAAGTGCGTTCGTTGCTCTCTGGGCTCTCCTGCAAGTATGGCGAACAAGGGGACGGCGCCGCCCCGTGCGCCGCCCGCGCGTCACGTTCCCGGGAGCGGGTCCGCGGCGCGCACGCCCTACGTAGGTGACGCGCTTAACAGCTTGTGTTTAGTTTTGGGTTCAGTGGGATAGTTTCGCTCTGCTGTCACACTTTGTACTGTGATAAAAGGTACAGAGGATAACGGGACATATTTAAAACTGACTTGTGTATTTAAAAAAACACTGATTGCTTCTAATACTTATTTGTAAAACCCCTTGAAGTACATGTTTGTTTGTCTGATTTAAAATCTTTTGTGTGTGCAGAGGCAAATTCTTACAAAACCTACACCTTCTGATAATTTTTCTTTTTTCTTTTTTCTTTCTTAAGAAAGTTCTCACTGGACACTACTATGCAGTTCCTGTGAACAACTAAGTACACCCCAATAATCATTTCTGTATGACTTTATCAGTCTCTTGTCATTGTGAAAGAATTTCAGCTCTCTCTTCCTTACAGCGCTGATTCAGTTCATTGAGGTTTGTGGGCATTTGTTTGTGTACAGCGCTCTTAAAGTTCCCACCACAGCATTTAAATCGGGTTGAGGTCTCGTCTCTGCAACACCTTGATTCTTTTCTTTTTCAGTCTTTCTGTTCCTGTTTTGCTTGTTGTTCTCCTCTTACATGGCCCAGCTTTGGGAAGCTTTAGGTGTCAGACAGATGGAGTCGCCTATACAAAAGTTACACATTTACTTATACTTATTTACCATTTACCATTTACTTATACTGGAATGTCATCTGAATGACTGCGTGGCGTCTAGGTGCTGTGGCTACAAAGCAATAATTTTTCTTAATCATATATAATATGTGGCACGGGTGTAATGAGCCATAACTTCAACCTAAATCTTTTTTATTACCAATTTATGTGTTCTTTCCATCTAATTCAATTAGTTGTTTTCTGTTTCTTTGTTTTTTTCTGGCCCTTTCCTGGTCTCTTTGCTAATGGCCAAAAATAAAAGCCATTATTATTTATTAATAACCAAGGACCAGTGCCTCGGGGAACTGACTGCAAACACTGTTGCCTTAAGTCTTCAGTGAGGCAGGGACCGGCATCCCCGTGTGGATCATTATCGCACAACTGCAGTTGAAAGATGCAGAAGTTGTAAAGCCAATGGCCTTAAAACTAGTTATCAGTTACATCAATTCTATAACATTCTGGAAGCCAGTGTTCAAATGCAAAAACGAGTGCAGGAAGTAAAAAGGCTTTTGCAGTAGTCTAGACATGAAGAAATACAAGTCTTGTCTTGAAATCTGTTTACATTTTTATAAAATTATAAGATAAAACATGACTACATTAGTTTCACTGTGTGATGCTGAAAGTTATCAGTTAGAGCTACGAATTATCGAGTAATTCGAATAACTCGATTATAAAAAATTCTTAATACAAATTCTTTGTTTCGATGCTGCTTAAGGCACGGCTCATACCACTGTCGCTATGGAAATGTGAAACATTTGTGATTTAAAAACAGACCTGAAATGGTACTCAGGAGCAATGTTAACCCCACACACACTGATAACACAACAGCAGCAGTGAGGATGACACTGGTGCAGTTTGCACACACGCTGCGAAGAGCAGCTGAGCTGAGGTGGAGCGAGAGAAAACGTGTTTCTAGTGTCCAAAACAGCAGCTCTGTAATCAGCAATAAAAGCTTTACTGGGAAGTAAAGGTAAACTTCATATACATATTTTATTGACTTTGACCTTCTGAATGTACCTCAAGTTATTTATGCATTTTTTACTTGTGTTTTTATTTAAATTTCATTTATTTGCACATTAATACAAAGGGTTTAGTTGTCTTTCTTGACAAACGTTTTCATTAAAACATTGCAAGGAGTTCATTTTGAAAAACCTGCACCGCCCTCCTTTGTATATTTAGTATTGCTCATTAGAGAAAAGTATTTCCTATCCAATTACTTGATTAAATAACCGAGATTACTCAATTTCTAAGATAATCGGTTGCTGCAGCCCTAATATCAATTCAGATACTGAACATATGAGAGACACCACCAAGAAGACGGAGCAAAGACAATATGAAGAGGTACAAGCAGCAAGATCAAGATGTTGATCTTGTATGAGGAAGAGTACCAATGGTAGAGACTTCTCAGGTAATTCATTGTGTGGTGCTTTGAGAATGCACCATTACAAAGACAAAGGCTTTAGTTTAACATGGTTTCAGTAGTTGGCCTGAACATGGCCAGTCTGAGGAATCCAAGAAGACGAGAGACGTTTTTCTAAAGATGACTCAATATCATGAATTTATGTACAAAATCCTTTGAACGTGTCCATGTGTCAAATATACAGTACTGAGTGACAGAACCAGTGTACATTAAAATGCAACTTTTTTTGTTTTTAAATTTATATTCAGAAGTCTGTCATTCAACCATGTTTATACAAAAAAAAAAAAAGAGAACAAAGATTCTCATTACAGGTTTAAGGCAACAACAGTTCCTGAATCCTGATAACATGGTTTTATGGTTATAAAAAGAGAAAATTTGAAAATAACACCCAAAACAAAAAAAATGGTCCATACAAAATGTCTTTAAAACACAAGGGTCTGATCCATCACATCTGATTAGCCAAAATAAAAAAATGATAAAAGGAACGGGAGCATCATCCCATCAGAGTCCTTTTAACTGGTGTCCATCTTACACTAAGATGAAGAAAAAAAGAAGAAGAAGAAACCGATTAGAAAATTGTGTTCACAGTATTATCCAAATAATTAATGAAACTGATTTTATGCAGCCTGATTACATACCTCAGCATTATAGGCATCCAACTGGGCATCAAGTTCCTCTGCAGAAAGCTGGGGTCTGTTTCCTCCTCCCCTCCCGCGGCCTCTAAAACCTCCACCGCCACCGCCGCCTCCACCACCACCTCCTCGCCGCCTTTCAACCCTGGGCTGACCGAGCCTAGTCCGATCAAAACCTTTGTTTGAGCTGCAAACAATAAAAAGAAAGAGGGTTACTCCAGAGAACCTGTAAAAGCCTAACAAGCTCCCCCCACCCAGATAAATGGAAGAAAATTAATGGAATTTGTTGTCGATTTTGCAATAAATCATTTATCAAATCTCAAAATCCGTGTAATACATAAATTGATTTATTTTTTTTTACTGCGTAACATCGTAACCCATTTTCAATGCCTATGTCATCACATTAACCCATCAACCTTGATTTACAACCCCAGATCCTTTTTTTAAAAACAAAAAAACATACCTTTGTGTATTCTGTGTGTTCTGTGTGTCGAATTCTGAAGTGGCTTGTTGGATTTTCATAGGGCGGCCTGGCAGGAAAAATAAAAAATAAAAATAACAGAAGTATAAATTTAGTTAGTTACCATTAACAACACCCATGTGCACACGCCTAAACAAGAGAACAAGCATGGGAACAAATCCTCACCATCAAGCGGTACGCCGTTATAGTGCTTCATGGCTTTCAGTGCATCTGCCTTATTTACAAAGTGGACGTCTGCAGTTCCTTTACTGCGACCAGACCGATCATAGTGTATAGATGCCTTCTTCAACGCTCCGAACTCAGCAAACAGCTCCTAAAAAGTAAAATCTGGAAAATCAGTGCCATTCCTCAGCATCCGAGGTGAGCAAAATAGATCTGAGCTTAGATAATTACCCTGATATCAGAATCAGAGACACCAAAGTCCAGATTGGAAATCAGCAGCTTGCTGCCGTTTCCTCCGCCATTTCCACCACTGTTTCCTCCGCCGTTTCCACCACTGTTTCCAGCACGTCCACCAACATGCTCCTCAAACATATCGTGCTGCCATTTATCAGGCAACTCTCTGGGCTGTGGAGACAAAAAAATGAAATACAGGCTTAGTTTGTGTTTTGTTCTAGGAAACTCAGAGCGCTACTATGATGGCTTAAAGCACTTGAATATTGAATGTCTGAAGGCTATTGAAAAATGTAATCTAATAACCAGTTTATGGTCATTACTCCCTATAAACATCACGGGAATCAGGCTAGAGGCATCATCCAGGTCTTCACAGGAGGAGTCCATTCAAAAGGGATGAGAGTCTTTCTTCAGTGCCTGAAAACACTCTTCTTTCCACAGAGGTGGTGACAGTAAGGCAGCGAGTTTCCACAGGTTGGAAAAAGCCCCATGTTAAGTATGCGGCCAAAAAAAATGAAGCAAAGGCCCCACTTTGAAGCAGTTTTGTCAGGAGGCAAAAAAAAATAGTTTGGTAGACAGGATTTCGGCTCTTTTTGCTCGAGCAGGCTATAAAA